GACGGTTTCATGCTCAGTCTCGCACACGACCTGTCCTCCACCCCGTCACGCTCTGGGCAGCACTGATCACGGTCGACCAGCTATCCTACCGCTCCGGTCCGTTGTCTGACCTGCCCCGGCCCGCCGCAGCGGGTTACACGGAGCCGATGTTGTCGCTGGGCTCTCTGACCGCCCAGCTGGACGTGCTGTCGGCGCTGGCGGTGGCCGGTCTCTCGGCTCCCACCCCGTACGTCCGGCCGCGCCTGGTGCCCGCCGACCAGCCGGCCGCCACGCGCTTCGTCCAGCTGCGCCACCCCTGCGTGGAGATGCAGGATGGCATCGCCTACATTCCAAACAACGTGGAGTTCGAAAGAGGTGAGAGGTGCTACGGTTGTTAAAATCTGCATACATGTGCTTGAATGCAACATGCTGTGGCTCGATCTTATTGATGAGTAATTAATATGTTACGTCCCCTGCCAATGCCGTTGAAATAAGATAACTCTTAAAAACCTTTCATGAAGTATGATACAAATCTATCGCATCACAATTAATCTACGACAATAATATTTATTCCACAGGCGTGTCGACCTTCAAGGTGATCACGGGTCCGAACATGGGCGGAAAGTCCACCTACATCCGCTCGGTGGCAGTGGCCGTGGTGATGGCCCAGATCGGCTCCTTCGTACCGTGCGAGGTGAGAGTTTACCTCACAGTCTGCCCACTCGCTGGGGCTTTGGTGATCTGGCTGGTGGGACGCTGTTTTATTGAGAAGGATGGAAACAGCTCCAAAATTATATTTTGGCTTGGGTGTCAAGGGGAATATTGACCTCCAAAACATGGATGAGAGTGGAAAATTAACGGTCAGGCAAGGCCCAAAAAGAGTGGGAAAGGCTCAAATTAAGTATACATTTCTATTACACTATAATTGGTAGGATGTAGTAGGTATGTAAAACGACCACCCACACAAATTTTTGTTTTTTGTTGGAATTGTGGGAGGAAAATGGTCTTGAAAAGTTTGAGTTGATAATGAAAAATGATTTTCATTTGGATGTCGTTTCCCGCCCAAATTGACAAAATTTGGAACACTGACTGTATATGTTGCTGACGGGCGAGGGCGAGGTCTGCACGGTGCTATGCTGGCTGAACCGTGACCTCTGCGAACAGGCTGCCCAGCTGCGGCCCGTGGACGCTCTGATGGCGCGAGTCGGCGCCGGTGACTGCCAGGCCAGGGGCGTCTCCACGTTCATGGCCGAGATGCTCGAGACGGCCGCTATCCTCAGGGTGAGACAGTGTGCCTCCACCAGGATAGACGTGCCGACGTGGTTCGGCTGACGGTTCGTGTGATATCGCACACGAAACTGAAGCTACTGGAGCTTATTGACGGAATTCGTGCCGTGATTACAGTCGTTTATCAGCTATTCTGGTGTGTTATGGTTACGTGCAGTGACCACGCTTGATGTTATGACGTCCCATGGCCACCCTGATGTGCTGTATCGTGTAGTAGTCATGAAGCTACTGATATGTCATGGCGATTGCAAGTGACCACCATGTTTTGTGATGACACTCAGCGACCATCCTGGTATGCTATGCTGGTGGCTATAATTGACCAGTGACCATTTGTTGTGCTGTGATCACAGGCAGCTACCAAGGACTCGTTGGTTGTGATCGATGAGCTGGGCCGCGGCACCTCGACCTATGACGGCTTCGGACTGGCTTGGGCCATCTCAGAGTGAGTACTCATGCACAACGGTGTTCTTTGATGCAATTTTAAATTGTTATTGTTTTCCGTTACGTCCCATTTTTATTCATTTTTTCAATAGTCGTCTAGGGCCAGTTAGGTGTTTTTGATCGGATCTCAGTGACGGCTGTCGCTGTCAAATTCATCGTACATAAATGCGTTGAAAACGTATTTTTAACGTACTCGACATTCTTATTTATGGTTAGTGGAACACGGTCAAGCCGTTCGTGTACTGGCGTCAAAATGAATGACATTTTGCCATAATTGGTCTGCCAGCATTCAAAACGATCGGCATGTGCGCCGACAGGTACATCGCTAACGAGTTGGGCGCCTACACGTTGTTCGCCACGCACTTCCACGAGCTGGCGGCGCTGGCCGAGCAGCTGCCGGCGGCCAGCAACCTGCACGTGACGGCGCTGACGAGCGGCGGCCGGCTCACCTTCCTGTACGACGTCCAGCCGGGAGTCTGCGACAAGAGCTTCGGCATCCACGTGGCCGAGCTGGCCCACTTCCCGGAGTCCGTCCTGCAGGTGAGCCTCATCGCTATCAGCCACTCTTGGTAGACGCCGCACATTTTCTTTCATTCATGCATCAAAGTATACATAAACACATTGACGCGTCGCTCTCAAAGCTGCCTTCAACAGAGGTGCGAGTACAGGGTTTCTTCGATCAGCTTTCACCTTTCCGTGCCCTACTTCTGTTAAATCTATGGTTCTAAACGTATAGTATACTGATTGGGTGGTGTGCTGCTGCAGGAGTCGCGGCGTCGAGCGGCCGAGCTGGAGGACTGCTACTGTGACCGACCGACAAAGTTCTCCCGCACCGAGTCCAGCCAGGTAAAGGCCGCGCTTTCCCGAGACATTGGGATTTAAAGCTGCGATATGTCTGCGATATTGTCTCCTTAGAAGCTTCACAACTATATCGTGCTGTTCTATTAAATGTTTCCCGTTAAAATTTAAATGTTTGAAGGAGGTACTCTGACCTTAATTTCGGTAGCACGTAGATGGCCGTCTAAATCTCCTTACCTGCATAGGCGGCGGACCGGGGAGGGCACCGGGGCACCGTGCCCCCGTTTGATTTTGGCATTTTAACATTAGCCCTATGGGCGTTGCATGGAAAGAATGGGACCAAAAGTCGGCAGTGCCCCCCCCCCCCCCTTAATTGAAGGTGTTCGGCCGCTACTGCTTACCTGCGAAACAGTCAAAACACCAGCACAATGCGTTTATCTGGTGTGCAGATGTTAAGCTTCTGTATATGCCGGCGGTGCTGACTCCCCTCTGTCGCGCAGACGGAGACGGGGGACGCGATCGACTCCTTCCTGGCCAAGTACGACGCGCTGGCCGCTGACGACCTGGAGCCGGAACAGCGCCAGAAGGCGGTCGCGCGACTCATGGACGAGCTGCGGGGCGTTCAGGACCCGTTCGTGACACACGTCCTCCAGCGGCTCGACGCCCAATGAGCCGACGTGTTCGAGAAGTTCGTCTGTGAAATCACCGATGCCATCACTTCGAATGCCTTGCTGCCATACGTTATAACATAGATTGTTTTTTTAATCTGGCGTTTTGTGATGGTAATGGTAGTATGAATAATTCGGGAGATAACGTTTTCTCGTCAACTTTTCATGCAGATTTCTTTCAAATCGCGTTACGATCCCATGTAGGATAGCTCAAAGCAGTCAGGATGCAGCTAGCAAGTACCGTTATGCGATGCTAGTCAGGCTGGTGGTGATGATTTTGCTGTGGAGCTTTTAGGGTAAACTAGCACCCCAGTCCACCAGATGCTGATGTTGATTTATCGCATCAGTACGGTGTAGGAATAGAGGTCTGACAGGCTGCGGAAGCTCGTTATGACCCAGTCCATCATCTTGGTAGGTGTGCTGCTTCTCAGTCCCTGTGGCTGAAACCGGCACGTCTACGTGGCCGTTTTGGCAGTTCGTCGAGAAGCATTATGGCTCGAGCGGAAATTTGTCTGAGAAAGTACCCGCCTCTAACTAGTCCTGGATGGACCCGTTCAGGCGAGCTCGCCCGAAGTTCAGCCACTTCTGTCGCTGTGCTCCTGTCATGTTTCGGCTGTGTGCTCAGTTTCAGAATCAGCTGTAGCCAAATACCGGTGCACTTTTGACAAGGAGATGGGATGCTGCTTTGCAATAAGTTTTCGCCATGCTTCCTTGTTGGCTGGTGCGTGCCAACTTAGCGCAGAATCCGTCGTGGTGATTTTGCCACTCCTGTGATCTTACTTCCTCTATCTGCCTTTGTGCTTTTCCGGCTTTTTTTCTCCAGCGGGCAGCGCAGAAGGTTCTTGGTCCATATCCCGAGCTGCTTGGTGACCTGAATCTGGGCCAGGTCACCGCTAACTATGCCCAAAGCTCGATAAAGCGTCGATAAGCCATGTTCGTTCGCTATAGATAATGCGATTTGCGTGCGTCTTGAGTATCTCCAGGAAAATGTTTTCGTACGCCACGCTTGATCCAGGGTCAGCTCACCGTGACATGACCGGCCATTACACAGCGGTGCCCATAGCCCACGGGCCGGTTCGAGATGGCGCACTACTCGCACTAGGAAGCTAGTTAGACTAGGCGGCCAAGTGCCAACTTGAAGGTAGTGACTAGTGACACTAACCGGTATTTTACAGCAATCGGCTAGTGGCTCAGCGTGAACCGAAATCGCCGTGACGCTTGAAATCATGTGTCACTAGGACCTTAGTGCGCCAACGCGAAACGACAGCATGTTCTGGTAAGGTTCAGATGTTAGTCGGCGGCCCTGGTCGGCGGTGCATGACCCGCACGGAGGGAGTCATCAAGTTACGGACACATTGCCACGAATGTTGTGCCTGTTTTGAGGGTCTTGGATGTGTCTATGTCTTACACGACTGTAGGCAGCTGTCGCCAGCCCCATAAATTAATTTTGATGGGCTGGAAGTGGTAAATATTGGGATAAATGAGATGATATGAGATTCGTATAATATTCTGACGGAGGTTATCTGCTGCCATTGTGACAGCGGCCTCGACCAGCCTCGATCTTTTGTTTGATCTTTTATCATGTTAGGGCCCTTAAGAGTCTATTGCGACGATTTCTGGAACAAAGAACTTTTCCTAAGATTTGGGAAGCATTGGGAACATATGGGAAGCATTTAGCTGCGTCCGGATGCCTGAGGGTTTTTAAATATCAAGCTGCTGCCAAATTGACGAACGTAGGCTTTTATATTGCCTGCGACGAAATATGGCGCACCGTTCGTCAATTACAAATGGTAATGTGCGTAATACACACAAGCCGTTAGGATGGATCTTTGTTGAATATTTTTGCACAAGTTACTAATTTTCAAGTGATTTCGACCCCGAATCGTGGTTTACTACAGTACTGTTGCAGGGCTTGCTGGGTAAGTACATCTCGATTTTGGCGCCCTTGGGAATTGGGATTGAATTTCGGTTTTACTTCGCGCTAATCCGTACCTATGACAAAAGATGCTAAGTTTTTAGATATTCTTCAACAGACAACAGTACCGTCATTGTTTCATATGTTATGTGTGATCTGGCAGGTTGAAATGATAACATTACTAGAGTTTGAGACCAGACAACATTATTCTGTAGTCATTTTGCTTTGGCTTGAGTCATTGGCCCAGGGTTCAGTGGAGATAGGTAGGTAAGCTAGGAAAATTTAGGAAAAACTGAAATACTAGGAAAATAGGAAAGCTGGTCAGGTTTGTTATAGTTAACATGTCACAAGCTGCAATCAACTCCGGCAAGTGCCGTTGCAAGTGTACTACAGTATCTTTGAAATATTTTGATAATTGGGACTGCCGACCAGCTTAAATCAAGTTCAAACAAAAGGTGAATAGGTAGGTACCCCAAGACAACTGTGGAAAGGGTCTTTTCTTGACTATTTGAAAAGAAGTGTATCATTTGTGCATTCTTTTATGATGCATGCTCTACTATAAATAAGTGATGTTCACTTCACAGTAATTTAGTGTTGAGAATATGTGTGAAGAATTTTGACATGAAAGGTAGCTCAAGATCCTATAGCAGAAATAATCATTTTACAACTCACTTTTGGCTGCACAAACTTTGATTTAAATAGTTTTATCCCATCCTCTGAGCTGATGCATGTACATAAATCACGATACCCTTCCTAGGCTCGCCTACCAGTTCTGACACTGAAGTTGTTGGAACAAGTACCTAGGCATTGATGCTGCTGTCTTTGATGTCAGAGACTGAAGCCCTCAGTACCTAGTTCAATATTTATGTGCTATGTGCTGCATTATTCTGCCCTCACTCTATTATCCTAGCAGGAAGTAAGTTAATCAAATAATGTTGATGATAAGTCAGCCAGGGTCTGAAGGGGAAATGTCTGACTTAGCTAAAAGTTAACACATATATTTACCAATGCAGAACATTTTTGTATAAAATGGATTCTTACCTAGGTACCTAATATCTGTGTTATGAACCAGATTAAACCATAAGCCAACATAATGCTAATTGATAAGATGAGTAATGAAAAAGTCTTTTCCAGTTACCTTTTTTTTTGTTATTTAAGATGAGTTTTAGATTTAAAAAAAACTTTACCCTGATGGATAGCAACACATTTCCATAGAATATTGGCAATACTGGGCATTGGGATCTTCAGTAGCTTTATGTGTGTGTGTTTTTTATTGTAATAAAGTATTGTCATCTACATTCTTCAAGAGTGAGTCATAACCCATAACTCAGAAGGACTTCAACTCTCCTTGCTGGGCTATTATAGATTGGCATAAGAATTTCATAACATTTTGTGTTTCCCTAACTGCTGTTTGATGACTCTTGCAGACTTTGCTTCAGCTTTTCTGAAATATGCTGGGGAAGATCGAGAAAATACAGCAGAACATTGGGATATGTTCAGTGCCCTTGCCTGCTGTAACTGAAGTGTATCATCACAGTATCATATGGCATCTTTTGACTTGTCTTTATGTGTCGCGCAGACGGCGCGCCTGCTATGTCCGGTGATGCGCCCCTGCGCTACGGATCGCCCCTCAGCTGGCCGCTGGTCCCGCCGCTCGCCGACGACGATGAAGATAGCGTCGAGCTGCCATCCACTGTAGACGTCAAAGCCATCTGGGTCAGTGACAAAAATGCAGTGTACTCATGTCTAAACGAATCTACGTGGCTTGGGAAGGTTGAGGTTATACGACGTGAATGAGACTATTCAGTGCTCACATTTTGATAACTTCTCGATCCTCTTGAAGGGATTGCTCGTCCACCCCATGCTGTGTAATAGCTTGCGATGTTCGATAAATTGGATACTGTAATTTGTGAAAGTAATGCTAGGCTTGTGTGTTTCCACAGGACCTGCCGCAGCCAGGTGATGGGACTCCGCGCGCGGCTCAGTCTGCCTCGGTGTCGTCTACCCCGTCCCCGCCCGGCTCTCCGCCGTCGGCCTCGCTGCAGACGCCGCCGACCCGGCCGCCGCCGCTGCTAGCTCAGTCTCCGCGGGCGCTGTCGTTCTCCCCAGATTTGTCTCCGAAGCCATCGGCGTCTCTGAGGCACCCGTCACCACCGTCGATATACTCGCCACCACATAACACAACACCAACACCATTAGCAAAACCAACCGCCATATCACCTACTCCACACTTATCAAAACAGACACTTGCACCCTCGTCATCGCTACATGCACCAGCACACCCATCATCATCACCTTCAACTGCAAAATCTCCCACAGCACAGCCAGCACCAGTGACAGTACCACAACCAACGCGTCCGAAAGCACCGTCACGGACGTCACTCGCTACACCAAGATCAACATCATCACCGCCACCGTCACCCTCATCGACTTCACACACGCTTCTGTTAGCGTCATCGCCGCCATCGCCACGGCCTCCGACGCCGCCGCAGCCGTCATCGCCAGCGGCGCCGTCACGGCAGAGACGACACCGCGACCGGCGGCCGGCGCGACCGCTGCGTCCACAGCCGGCGACGCCGCCGCCAGCGTCAGCGATAGCGACCAGAACACAGCTGGGCTCACCATCGCTGTCACCACTAGCGTCACTGTCACCACCGCACTCACCTCCCCCGCCATCACCACCAGCACCAACAGCCTCGCGATCACAATCATTACAACCACAGCCACATCCGCGACCGCCACTGCGACCGCCAGCATCGGCGGCAGCCACGACAGTAGCATCGCCTCCGAAAACCAAAGCAACAATATCATCCCCACCTCCGCTACCCATATCAGCATCACACACAACAAAAACTACTGTGCCATCGACGTCGCCTCGTTCACCGCATTCGATTCTGAGACGATCGACGTCTCAAACGAAACCAACAACGGCTGCACCACTGCCAACTTCACCGCCGCCGAAGCCGCCCGACGGGCAACGGGCGCCTCCGCTTTCACCGCCGTCATTGCGGTCGTCGCGGCGACGGTCGCCTCTGCCGACCTCCTCGCCTCCATCTGCGCCTGGGAGCGTCTCGACTCTTTCCGCCGCATCGCCTCCTCGTGGACTTCTTCAGCCTTCGGAGACGGTGGAGGCGCATCAGTCGCCGGCGGCACCTCCCAGTAGACACCTTCACTCATCCTCGGATGGTGACGAGTCCGATATTGATTCAGATAGCTGGTCATCGGGTTCCGGCGGCCGCGACTCGGACTCGGAGAGCTGCGGCTGGTCGGACGTGGCTGAGAGTGTGGCTGGGGACGGCGCGGCGCCGGTGGCTCAGCCGCCGCGCGCTGCTGACACCCGGCAGTCCCCGGCGCCGGACGGCCAGCGCCCCGGGTCGGCGCTGGACGGCCACCCGGTGCCGGCGGCCGTGCGGCGGCGGCCGGCCTCCCCGGACTCGAGCTGCGGAGCGCCGGTGTCGAGAGACTGGCGGCCCGCCGAGCCTCCACCGACCGGCGAGCGGCGCGCGGGCTGCCGGCCGCGGCACCGGCCGCAGTCGGCGGCCTCGCCGGCCCGCGGCGCCCGCTGGCCGTCCGGCGCCGCCAGCCCAACCCCAGAGGTCGGCAGCCTCGGCCTGCAGCGTCCGACCGGCGCCACCAGCTCCCCGAAAACCGGCAGTGCGTCCGTCCAGAGCCCTCAGCGCCGGCCTGCCAAGGCATTAAACAATTCTTCTGCAGTTCTATCGCCAACTCCTAAGGCAAGTCCATCACTGAGCACTTAATTATTTATCGACTATATTGTGGTAACTTATAAAAAGGTTCTTCAGGTTTTTGTGCTAGCTATATTATTCTGCACATACCACTCGATTTAACTATAACCTGTTAATCTGACCGGACATTCTGTTGCAAAAGAACTCTCCAGCTGGCCCAGTGACTAGGACATTGTTAAGTGCGTTGTTGGTTGCTAACTCTGCTCTCCTGACAGGTGGACGGGCGGCTGCAGCTCTCCGGGTCGGACGACTCCGATTTCGATGTGGGCGGGGTGCGCGCTGCGCTCCAGTCGCTCGAGGACGACGCCGAGTCTGCCGAGCGGGTCACCACGCCCGAGAAGCAGACCTGGTGGAAGAACAAGCTGAAACACTCAGCGATGAGCCGCGCTGAGTCTGCCCACAGTCTGGTGCGGCCGTGGGAGAGCAGGCGGGACATGGGTCGGACGAACGCGCGACACAGTGCCGGTACCCCTGTGACTGTCAAGGGGCCGTCGCAGCCCCCGGCCGCCGTCGGTAACGGTAACAGTAAGCGAGTCGGTGCCAGTGTGGACGCCAGTGCAGCTGACAAGCACCAGCGCGCCGCTGTGGCGCTCAGTGAGAGCTCGGAGGGCGAGGAGGGGTGGTGTTCCCCGGCGGAGGATTCTGCCAACGGCTCGGACCGACGCAGTCCCTGCGTCAAGATCGACGGACGAACCTCGCCGCGATACGCAATGCCGCTCACCAGTGATAGCCATGTGCGAAAGCCGTCCTTGTCCGTGATCTTGAACTTGGAAAACAAAAACTCCCACCTTCGCGGCATGTGCCCTCCGCGGAATAGTGACTACGACGGTGCGCCGAAATCGCGGGACAGTGAGCTCGCTGGTGCGCTTAAGTCGCCAGCACAAGTGCGGGGGACTGAAGAGCCGAGTTTTGCGCCGCCCGTGAGTCGGTCCCGCGGCCGACCGAAGCCATCCGAGTCGGCGCCGCCGCCGCGCACCTCGGAAGTGATGGCGCCGCCCCGCAATGCGCCGTCGCTGAGTACTGAGACGAAGGGCTGGCCGGCGGGCGGCGAGTCGAATTCGACTAACAGCGTTCAGGGCGGGCGTGAGCCGGTGCCGCGGGTGGCGGCCACCCCGGTGTCGGGCTCGCTGGCCGCGCCGTCCAGCGAGCCGTCAGTGCCCGAGTCGGGCGGTCCGACCCGTCCCGTCTCCCAGTCTCCGCCGTGGGCCGAGGACAAGGGACGGCCGCCGGCCACCACCGCCGGCCTGGCCACCTCGGACGCCCAGCAGCGGCAGTCGGTGGCGGAGCTGCTGAACTCGCCCAGCTCCCACCACGGCTCGCCCGCCTCCTCGTCATCGTTCTCGTCCAGCAGCGCCCTGGTCACCACCACGGCTGCCACTGACACGGGCGCGGCAGCGTCACCGGCGCCCCGCCCCACCGGCTCCAAGGCGGACGGTACGGACCCCGACCAGGGCGGCGACCCGGCGCGCAACTCGCGCTCCATGCTGATCCGACGCAGGCGGATCAAACTGCTCAAGCGCCGACATAAGAACATCGTGGACCCGGTGCTGCTGGCGGACGTTGAGGAGCTGGTCCGGCGGCTGGCCGGTCTGGGAATGCCGCGCGGTGCCGGCCGGACGGCCAGTAATTCAGGCGAGGTCCGGACTCCGGCCTGCTTCCAGACACGGAAATACGGCAGGAAGCGCAAACCGCCGCAGGAGAAGGTGGCCAAGCCTGACCGCGAGGCTGTCGACGATGTCGACAAGAAGAAGTCCAGCTCGCACCACACACCGGTCTGCCCACAGGTGAGATTGGATGAGTTCGTCCAGCAAATGGAATTGGTTGGCATGCAAAGAAATGCTTATACGACTCCTTCAAACATGCCAGATACCCCCCTCCCCCCATTTATCATCACATCCGAACTCTTAACCCGCGCCGGGCCGGTGCTCCGAGATTCCGCGCCGGGCCGGGGGGGGGGGGGGGGGTGTCTGAACACCCCCCTTCTAACTCGGCTCCTGGGCCACATAGCGACACGCGGTAAGCGGCAATTGAAAGAACGTCCAAAATAAGGACGAAAACACTTCGGTCATTTTTTGGGTCAGGTCAAAGGTCAGGTCACCAGAGGTCACCAAAGGTAAAATGCTGACTATTTCAACATTTTGGAAACTGTCGACGGCTATCTCGGGAACCGATAGAGTTACAGCGCCGCGGAAAAGCGCATTCGATAGCCCTTTTACAGACCTTTCTGAGTAATGTTCTCAGATTTGACCTCAGGTCAACGGTTTAGCCTCCAGAGGGCAAAAACTCCAAAAATAGCCGTTTTTACGAAAAACGTTTTTTCGGCAATAACTTTTGACTCAAAAGAGCCATGACACAACTTTTGCCAGCATCGTGTTCCTCACGTCAAGACGCGTCGAATGAACTATAATTTGACCTTGAAAGCTCAACTTGAAAATTTGACCTCAGGTCAAGGTCATGACCTGACCGGAAAAGGTCATGTTGCATATCAGTCGATCTGCAACGTCGAGCCGAACACATCTAAGGCGTTTTCAGCGGTCTAGCACGCCTCTATCAGAAGTTATTAGCGGAAAACTGTTAGATTCTGTTCGTGACCTGAGATGACCTCGGGGACATAACGAGGGGTCACAGTTGCCATTTTCCGGTTCAGTGTGTCAATTTTACCTATATCTTGATGTTTGAGAGTGTCTAGAATAGCGCTCGTGCAAAACAGACGCTTTTCAATTTTCTCCCATTGACTTTTAATGGAGAGGCCGCAAAATTGACCTGACCTTAGGTCACTGATATCAAAATTCCGAGATATACATTTTATAGATAATGTTGCTCTTATCAATCGCTGAAAGTTTCAAGGCAATCGATCAGTCGGTGTAGCTATGACGAGCATTCTTATTTTTTTTCTGAGGTAAGGTCACTTGGCGTGACCTGGTGACGGTGACCTGACCTAAGGCGACCTGGGTCTGAAATTTTCGCAACATGTGGGCAAAAGATGCACGAACAGGTGTGTCAAAAACGGCGGCGCGGAGATATCTGCGAAAAACCGCAGGGGGTGTTCAAACACCCCCCGGCCCGGCGCGGGTTAAGGACTCGATTGGCCTGATATTATCACCATAGTCTACTCATTCAGGCAATGCGGGATCGAAACACCTCTTTTCTGATTAGATAATAGATAGCTCATTGCCAGGCTGGATTTTGTCCGGCTTCGACATAAGCGATGGAAGGTTAACTTAACCCTATTAGTGGCAGGCTCCTGACTACCCCTATTAGTGGCAGGGGGGCTGTTTACGACCCCCCCCCCCCCTTGATATCTCGAGATCTAACGGGCCGATTTTCAAAATTCAAACGGCATTCGATTTCGCTCAACGTGATCTACATTTCTAAAAAATAAAAAATAAAAAATGTCAATAGGGGGGTAGAGGGGGGTAAAAACGGGCAAATTGCAGATACATTTTAGACTGTTTATCACGGCCAGGTTTCTGAACCAATCTTAACGCAACTTTTGCCGATCGATAGAGAATGAACCAGGAATTCACATGGATCCTAAAAATATGCATTTTCAAAAATCATAGGCGGATACAGATCATTGAGATTGGGGGTACACAAAAAGTATAGTAAATAAGGTTTTTGTTGGTACTGTTTATAAAAAGGGTGGTAATGGTCTTGTTATGTTACAATTTTCTTATGAGAGAACGACTACAATTGTATTGGTCATGCATAGGCGGTGTCAGGGCACCTATGTTGGGAGGTAAAACATAACCCCCCTTTTTGGACGCCTGGATCCGCCTATTATAGCAAAAACGTGTCAAAAGAGGATGCACAATAACTTTGTATATGTTATCACATGATACCTTTCATTCACTGTTCGTAAAACTGGTGCATACAGTTATAATACATCAGCATCGTGATCTTCGCCCAAATGACTCGCTTCACGAATAGGACCCCCCAATTCCCAGTGCTCTGGAGCCGCCCCTGGTAAAGTTATGAACTTGAAATTTTCAGGGAATGTGCCCAATTTAGTTTTAGGAAATGTCAGAAAATTTCAGCATCGTAGCTTCAGCGGTTTCGGAGATATTCCCGAAAAACCTGAGGGGTGGATGAAAACAACCCCCCCCCCCCTGCCACTAATAGGGTTAACCTGAAGGTTAACTTGCTTTTTTATAAACTTAGCTCGAATGTTTGAATGGACAGATTTACAGAGCTGGAGTCTACGCTAAGCAGAGCTTGTTGCGTAGACCCCGATCCCTACCGTCCGATCGCGTGCGGCGCAATGCCGAGTAACGGGAGAATTTAGATACCAAAGTTTAGCATGCCCTTGAAAGCCGGACACGGCCTCTCCACTCAACTGACTTCAACCGGCTGCGGCTGCTCCCGCCAACCGCAGACTATTTCCGTCAGGAGTCTCAAATATCGAGCGCAGGAGCGACTCGAACCCGGGCTTTCACTACCGGGAGTCCAACGCTCTACCAACTGGGCTACGGGACTTGTCATTGTAAGAGGTTCACCTCTTACAACAATAATTATCTACCGTAGACACACGCGATCGACTGTCCAGTGTTTGCGCATCGTCTCCCGCGCCTCTTGGCCGTGAAATGTTTGGAAAGAAGTCCGGCTGGTATTAGAAGCTCCTAAATGTTGGGCTGGTGTTTTTATGGTCTAGTGTGCACCTGCATATGTCAAGAAAAGAATAATGTTCTATGTTAATCCTTCTTTATTCGAAGACATTTTCAATAAGCTAGGGTTTCCCGAACTATGATTTGAAAAAAGTGGTATGATAGCTGCATCACACCCCGTCTCCGTTTCAGGAGGATGAGAACAAGGAGCAGTGTTTGCCTCTCAAGAAGCGGTACCATCATATCAGCCAGTCGCTGGCTGAGTCGATAAGCTCCCTGGCCAAGTCAGCGTCTCTTCCAGCAAAAGCCGGATTCTGTGCAATGGAATCAACTACTGCCTGCAAATCAACGGCTCCTAGAGCCGAGAAAGTCTCCGACAAAGTTGTGAACAAGGCCCAAGAACTGTATTCACCCGGGGACACTGGAAAGGGACCGGATCGTGTGAATTCTGTTGAATCACATGATCACCCATCTGTGATATGTAAAGCTTTGGTTAAGCGGCAGTGTGTCGAGTCGTCTACGAAGTCAGTCACTTCGAAGGTACCTTGCAAGCTCACCCTGACTAAGTCAGAACAAGCAAGTAAAAAGCAGTCAATTTCTCGTAGTCGCGCGCAGTCTGGCGACGGATCCCACAGTCGGGCCGGCGTCCACAAAGCACAAACTCCCGACAGGCCGGAGAACCAAAAGCAGACAGCAAAGCACAAAGCATCGGACTTAGTGGATGGAGGCCAGAAACTAAATGCGAAAGCGGATGAGAAAGGCGCAGTATCTGCCAACAAGCGAGCTGTTACAGCCGCCTCAGAGTCGGCTCCCCCGGCCAGCACACGGCTGGCTGGCACTGCTGGCCAAGCGGCGGAAGGTTCAAATGCGGTTTCTTCTACGAAGAAGTCGGACGATGTCCAAACTCCAGGCGGCGACAAGACGCGCGCAGTGTCGCTCCCGGGACCCGAGGACCGCCGACGACGGCGGAGACCGACGGCCGACGCCGCCCCGTCCGGACACCCTGGCCGGCGGCGACGGTGGCGTCGTCGGCCCCGCTCTGGCTCTGAACGACCGGACTCGAAGACGGAGTCGACGGCAGAGTGTCCGCCTGTACCCTCGCCGCCGCCCGCTGATGTTCCCACCGTCTCCGCGCCTGTGCCGACCCCGGACACCGCCCCTCCATCCGGGATACCCGCATCATGTCCCGACACTCCTGCTGTCTCTGTGACAGTAGAGGCCGTGGCAGCCCGGTCCGACTCTGTCCCGGCAAAAGTCGAATCTGACCCGCCGCCAGTCGGTGACGTGTGTCCAGCCCCGTGTGCAGAGGGCCCAGCCGACACCCTTGCCAAGTCTCCCCAAGATACCGCCGCCCTCACTGTGCGCCGTAAGCGGCGGAAAATCAACCGCACCGGGTTTCCCAACAAGAAGAAGAAGGTTCGTCTCAAGTCGAGACCGCCGACGCCGGGCTCCACGGCGGCGGCGCCGGAGCCGGCGGTGGCGCTGCCCGAGGCGCCGCAGCCGGACGGCGAGCCGACGGCCGTGCCCCCTGCAGCGTCCTTGGCCGCCGCCGATAAGGACATGCTGCAATCGGAGTGCCTTGGTCCGGATACGGAGCCGCCATCAGAGACCACGCCGGCCGAGCCGGAACACACTGCAATGGGTGAGCAGCGCGCGCGGGAGCTGCGACGGCCGCGGCGGCCGGCGCCGGCCCGCCCGCGCCCCACTCAGCTGCAGCAGACGCCCGTCGTGAGACTCGACAAGATGAGCGAGCCGCCGGTGGCGCCGCCGCGTCACGAGCAGCCTCCGTCGGGTGCCGCGAGCGACACCGGCTCCGAGGCGGCGCCGCCCCGCTCCGAGCCGGCGGACACGGGCCGGCCGGCCGCCCGACCGACCTCCCATCGACTGGCCACCAGGAAACGGTCAAAGGCCACCACCTCGCCGGCGCCTAACAACAAGCGGGCCCGGGTCGACCGGACGGACCTTCCCTTCGTGGAAGACGACATCTATTTCGAAAGGTGAGTTTCAACACTGTCGGTACCTAATTAATAGCCTGCTGAATGTTTCCGTAAATCTGAACAAAAACAGGCTTCTCGTTTTTTTATCGCCACTGAATGATCCATTGCATTTGTTTAGTAGCAATAACAGCCTGCCGACATTCAAGATATGTGATATGCTGCCATTGACCTGCTGATAGGGTGCGATCTATCTAGCTTCCTGTAACTTCCGACAGTGACCTGCTGATTGGGGTGCGATTTAATCTGTTTTGTCTCGCCGCCATTGACCCGCTGGTGTCGATCCGTGTGACCTGTGTGTCGTCCCCACAGCGACCCACTAATCTCTGAGTCTGGCCCGTCCAGCGAAGTTCCGTCCGGAGACGAGCTGCACCGGTCCGCTGCCACCACCGTCAAAACGCGAATGGCCGCTCCCAAATGGAAAAAGAAGAAATACATCACCGCTGGACTGTTCTCGGACTTCTACAAAGTGGAAAGGTGAGAACAGTACTTTGAGCGCTGGACTTTGAGCAATGTCTGATTTCATCCAGTCGAATAAAATAGGCAACTGTTGCCCCTAAGAACGTCGCTGCCAATCTGTTTGTAAATGTGACACCGACCCCTGTCCATATTTCAGCGAGAGTGAGCGGCCCGAGCTGAACAAGTCGCGGCTGACGTACGACCCGTCCGAGCACGAGCATGGTCTGCTGCCGCCGCCCTGCTACGAGGAGAAGTGGCTGCGGCACCGGCCTCGCGACTTCACCCTGCCCTACGACCTGTGGTGGCTGCAGGCCAACGGCCAGCTGCCCGGCCGAGACGCGGTCGCGTCCTGGAACTACAAGAAACTGCGCACCAGTAAGTCGCTAGCTGTCAGTCATCATACAATTATTGCAAGTAGATGTACTCAAGGTTCCGAGGAATTCGCTCAGTTCAGTGTATTTCGACGAAGGAATTGTTAAATACGTCAGGGTGCAGTAAGGTTGTGCTCTCAAAGACCTGGCTGCTGGTGCAGCTGCTTACAGGCGGGCGTGCTAGCTGACAGTTTAGCTTCAACTGTACCCACGGTGATTGGTGCCTCGTGTTCCGCGCAGACTACTATTTCGACGTGAAGCCGCCGCCGCCGCGCGAGGTGGAGGCGTGCTCGTGCCGGCCGCCGGTGGACCCGCAGCGGCCCGGCTGCGGCGACGACTGCATCAACCGCATGATGTTCGTCGAGTGCAGCAGCAGCTCGTGCCCGTGCGGCGACCGGTGCGACAACCAGCGCATCCAGCGACACCGCTGGACGCCCGGACTGGTCAAGTTCATGACGGGCGAGAAGGTAGGCGGGGTGGGCGGTGCGTCGGGTCTGAGAAGGCTACAGGGGGGGGGGGGGGGGAGAATTGGAATCCGACTGCGAAGTAGGCTGCTAAATCATTGCTATTGGGAAACATGCATTTTCACGCTAATAACTGAATCTGGGCGCCAGTTATTCATCTTGTTGTTCTCGTATATTTCATTAGATTTTCTCAATTTGAAGCAGGAGAGAGAAACAGCGAGGCCATGGGGTAGACGTGATTAGGTAGGTAGCTGAGGCCCGACTTAGATTGCCATGTGTTGTTATCCAACATACTGAGCCTCATTCATCCATTGCAGGGCTGGGGCATCATGACGCGGCGGCCGATCCGCGCGGGCACCTTTATCCTGGAGTATGTGGGCGAAATTGTCAGCGAGAAGGAGTTCAAGCGTCGGATGCAGACGCGCTACATCAACGACCAGCACCACTACTGCCTGAACCTGGATCGCGGCATGGTCATCGACGGACACCGCATGGGCAGCATTGGTGAGACACATGGCTTGTTTCTTCCTTTCTATTTGAAGCGTAATATAGCTCCTACACGTCCTGTGTTTCGTTTTTTTCCCGCTTAGGCCTGTGATACCGCAGCTAGTGGGAGTGTGGAACAGGCTATTTTGCGATGCGCTGCAATAATTTTAACCCGATCGTTTATACTCACAGGTCGTTTTGTGAACCACTCGTGCTCGCCCAACTGCGAAATGCAGAAGTGGGAGATGAACGGGCTCCACCGTATGGCGCTGTTCTCCAAGGAGGACATCCCTGGCGGCACAGAGCTCACATACGACTACAACTTCGCTTTGTTCAACCCAGCTGTCGGACAGGTTCGTGCAGCTGCCGTGCAGCTACCCATCACATGCTCTCGGTTATGTTCTGAAATAATGCCAAAGGATTCTGTGATCATCCTAGGATAGTGTTAAAACATTAAGTGAAGCTACCTTGGACAGATCAGTTAGCGGTCATCAGATTTATACCGAACATACTTTGACTCGCACCCTGTGAATTAATGCGAGGTTGCGCCGATAGTTTGTGCAAGCTGTCCCAGCAGCAGCTAGTATAACCAGCCTTGACTGACGCCGTGCGGACCGTTTCGCTCGCAGAAGTGCCACTGCGGCTCGGAGGACTGCCGGGGGGTGATCGGTGGCCGGTCGCAGCGCGTTGGGCCGCCGCAGACGGAGCGAGGCAGGGGACGCGGCGCCGGCACCACTACCTCCAGCACCACCACGAGCACCACTGGTGCGGCCGCCAGCACCACCGCCGGCGCCACCGGGCCGGGAGACGGCGGCGCGGCGGCACCAGTCCCGGCCGGCGGGGCGGCGTCCGCGGGCGCCGAGCCGGCCGGGGTGGCTCGCAACGAGCGGCGGCCGTCCGTCAGCTCGGAGCAGACCAGCGGCGAGACGGCCGCCCGGGAGCCGACCGCGCTGCCCGTGCGGCCGCTGTCGGCCCGGGACGTCCGCTTCATCCGGCTCCACCGCTCGTTCCTCGTCCGAAACTACGAGAAGGTGAGTGTCGAGCTTCATCCTGCGCTCAGTGCGTTGAAATCAAATGCTTTTCGGTAGTTGCATCAACTGGTCAGTTCATTTTTTTTTTTTTGATAATTCCATTGGGTTTCTGATACAGTTGATCCCTTTCTTATCCACTCAGTAACTGCTGTCACTAGTTGACGTCACATATCCGATTTATTTGCACGTGCTCACTTGCATGTTTGTTTGGCCAGATGCGGCGGCAGCGAGAGCCGCCTCTGGAGACGGCCCGGCCCGTCTCTCCGCCGGCCGGCTCCCAGGAGGAGACGTTCCGCGCCCACCTCCGCGCGCTGGACAGCTCGCGCTCGGTGCGCACCCGTCGGCTAGCCGCCGCCGAGGACGACCCTCAGATGGTGCGCACCCTGAAACTGGCGCACATCCTGAAGGAGATCCACCAGGCGGTGGTGGCCAGTACGGGTGAGTGGGGTGGATACGGGGTGCCTACTTATGAGAGAGACAGCAGTCTGATGCAATGAAATACTCGGTCGGGCCATGAAATACTCGATATGGTCGTCTCACTCGGCGTTAGACGACCATATCGGTCGTCTCACGCCGAGTGCCCAGCACAGTGATGTGATTTGATTGATTAGGTGTGGAAGGCTGAGTGGTGGATGTGTGCAGATTGTCGTTATTTGTAATTGTATGTTTGTACTATTTGTCCTCAATTCCGTGCTCTCGCTGTCATGTTCACAGGCGAGCACCCGGGCCCGAGTCCGGTCGAGGCGCTGACACTGCCGCGGAGGCCACGGGTGGCGGCCGCGCGTGACTCGGCCGAGGCGCCCTGCTCACTGCTTCCCGAGCCGCTTGACATTGCCGAGATCGAGCGGCACATCGTGACCGGCCAGTACAAGACGGCCGACGCGTTCGACCACGACTTCCGTCGGCTGTTCACGGCCCAGCTGCGCGCGCACGGCCGCTGCTCGCCGATCGGCGCCGCCGTGCTCCGGCTCAAACACAAGTACGCCGAGCTCAAGACGGTCATGATGAGCCAGATCCAGGAGGTTCTGGGTGTGGTGCCCAGCAGCTTCCGGCCTCCGGCCAAGCGCCGACAGGACACCGGTCTAGGTCAGTGACTGCGGCCGCTTCACATCCGAGTCAAACGGCATCAAATGCTATTGATTACCACGTTTTCCGTCAGACGGAGAAAAGAATACGACCTGCTGTGTGATGGGCTGTGTTTTCTCAGTGTTAACCCGCACCCGGGTGGGACTCTGTTTTCTGACGAGCTGTTTTCCGTCAGACGGCGGAAACGATCCGCTGTGTGTAATGGGCTGGTTGTGTTTTCTCTGCCTTTACCTATAACCTATGTTTTCTGCGTCAGCTGACGGTGAGGAGGACACGATCCGCTGTGTTTGTGACGGTCTAGGTTTTCTCCGTGTGTAACAGTCTGTGTTTGTCCCGTCAGACGGCGAGGAGGACACGATCCGCTGTGTTTGTGACGGCCTTTGTTTTCTCCTTGTGTAACGGTCTGTGTTTGTCCCGTCAGACGGCGAGGAGGACACAATCCGCTGCGTATGTAGCCTGCACCGCGAGGAGGGCCTGATGATCCAGTGTGAGCGCTGTCTCGTCTGGCAGCACTGCGACTGCGTGGACGCCGACCCGGACGTCGAGAAATATGCCTGTGAGGTGAGTTTACCGACCTTTTAGTGTCTGACTATCGATCAGTTCAGTGTGAGGTGCGGTCTAAAGAATGAAACGTGCGAGCAGGGTTAAATAGATCGAGCCCAAGATAGCCGTAAACCAGTATAAGGGCCGCCCCACACGAGTGCGTTTTTCATGCGGTACGGTTGCGGTGCGGCTGCCGTACGTCAAGATGCGGCGCCATGCGGCTACCGTGCGGCTGCCGCACGTCAGACATACGGCACCATGCGGCTACCGTGCGGCTATCGTACGGCATCTTGCGGCGCCATGCGTCATCCATGCGGCGCGGTGCGGCGTCCATGCGATACGGTGCGGTTTCTTGCCATGAGTCGCGGCTGACAAGAAAAATAGGTTTTAAATACACCAACGTATGCAAAGTTAAACAAATGATGTTTTAACATATCCTCTGTTGAATTCAGAGTCTAGCTAACCCTTTTTCATGGTGAACTTTGACTGCTCCTAGCCAAAATATATCAATCTGTGAGATGCTGTCCACGGTGCCGTGCGTCGCGTTGCGGAAAGTAGAAATGGTTCCTACTTTCCGCAACCCACCGCAAGGTGTCAGCCCATCAGTGTCCACACTCACTTCCGTCACATCGGTAGCCCGTCAATAATATTGACCCTAATCACCACTAGTGGGTAACTTTGAAGCCCCTATTGAACTATCGAGCATGAACTGATTACAGACATGCCCGAATATCCAGACCAGTATCGGAATACTCCCAATGCATATGAGAGATGCACCACTATCCGTGTCACTTGCAAAAATGAAGAGGCGTCAGGCTTGTTCGGAGTTCGGACTGCAATAACTAGGCAAATATTGAACCGATTGCGCTGTAACTTGGCATGTCGGTAGACACACACCAAATTTTTATACATCATCATGATTTATGAATCAACCATGATGTCATTATGGTTGGGAAACTACTGCACATGCGCACGTTCAGGGTGCCAGTTTAATATCTTCAGAACGGCTGCGCCCATGACCCTCAATTTGGTATGTACCTACATGCATTGTTATGGAGCCGATTAGCAGGGTGCCGTGCAATGCAACCGCTCGGTCGGCGTTTTTTTTTTTTTGTAGGGTAGCTGCATCCCGACTACGAAACATCGGACTACTCCGATGCATATGGATGACTTCAAATGCACGTGCCATGTGAGGAACGAAGAGGCATCAAGTTTGTTTCATTATACAATAACTCAGCAAGTTTCTGGGCGATGTCGCTAAAACTCGACATGTGGGTACAGACTCACCGAGTATATGCATTTTCACGTGTCACGGTTGGGGTGTTACTGCACAGTGCACGTGCGCACGGGCAGGGGTCGCTTCAACATCTTCAGAACGGCTGGGCCGACTGCGACCAAACTTGGCACATGGCGTTAGAGACCAGTGAGTAGGGTGATCTTTTTTTTTTTGCTCCGCCAGCCTAAAGCCAGTCTGGAGCCGGGGGTCATTACATCTGGCAATTTTGGCCAGGAACAAAATTTTACGTTAAGCCGGTTTATGTGAACCAGGAAGCAATAGCAACGTGGGAGCCTATCCTTAGCGTGTGTGAGCAAATCTAATGGGGGAACTTAATTTAGAACCAGGTTGCACGTGCGCACGCGCAGGAGCCCAGCTCTTACACATTTCGGGAACGGGCGGGCTGATTCATGATTGCACTCAAACTTGGTGTAATGTTAGGTATCAGTTAGTTTGGTGGACGAAACGCATCGACTGATATGCAGCATGACCCTTTCCGGTCAGGTTATGACCTCGACCTGGGGTCAATTTTTTAAATGACCTTTAAAGGCCAACTTATGGCTCATTCGGCGCGTCTCGACGAGAGGAACACGATGCTGGCAAAAGTAATGTAGTGCCTCTCTTAAGCCAAAAGTTTTACCGAAAAAATTGTTTCGTGAAAACGGCTATTTTTAGGTAGAGTATTTGCCCTCTGGAGGCTAAACCGTTGACCTGAGGACTGAGGTCAAATCTGAAAGCAATACTCAGAAATTCGCAAATCTGCAATGAACTCAGTGCCAGAGGAGCTTTCACAGGGAAATGAAACTGACAAGACTTATTATCCTCTAGAGGCCTCGCCCACAACTTGTATATCTCGGATTTTTCCGAACCTGAGGTCAGGCCAGTCGGTGACCTCGTCATCATAACTCATAAGCCGATGGGGGATATGGAAACTGTTATTTTGGGACCGGAAATGATCTAAAACTACCTCAAGCACATGCAATCGTGATTTCATGCACTCCTTGCAAGATCCAAAGCCTCACTTTGCATTGTTTACCTTGCTGAAGCCATTTATGACGTCACTAGGGCCATAGGAGTGCGTCGTCTATAACTCCCTATGAAATTGAGCTAGCGAGTTGGAAAAGCCACCAATGAACTTCGCGAGACCTGCCAATTCGAATGCTATGCGATGTCTTCCTTTGACCAGCTTCGTGACCTGAGCGGCTCTGACCTGAGTGGCCTTGACCGGAAGTCAACATCCTTAGTTGATCTCACCTAAACAAAAAAAATATATTGATTGACCCGTCTGAGCATGGAAAACATAATGGTACTTATATCACGGTTCTGCGACCATTTTTTGCGAAGTTATTTACCAAAAACCGATCCCGTGCCCAGGGTCCCTTGACCTGCCCTCCGAGGTCACTGAGACCTTGGTACCGCTGTCTGCAAGCCACTTCGTATGACATTCATGACCACAAATGTCGTTTGGGGTCTCTTGACACGATTGAATTATTGGTATCAAACTGCTTCAGCATAGGTACTAGCAAAACGTCCTTTGGGCGACAAGCGAGCGAGCGAAAGGGTGAGCCTTGCACGTGTGGCATTGCGGGGGGATACTTCCAACTGACTTGTGCACTGCACCCTACTAACCGGTTTCTAGCGATGTGCCAAATGTGAGTCCAATCGGCCCAGCCGTTCTAGAGATCTGGAAGCGGCACCCTGCACGTGCGCACGTGCCAGCTGGGTCCCAACTCCCAACTGACTTTTGCACGGCACCCTACTAACCGGTCCCTAACCGTGTGCCAAATTTGAGCGTAATCGGTCCAGCCGTTCTCGAGATCTGGAATCGATCCCTGCACGTGCGCACGTGCAGCAGCACCCCAATGTGGCACATGGAAATACATTGTCTAGTGGGTGCCTACTTGTATGCCAAGTTTCAGCGTATTCAGCCCAGTAGTCACCGAGATATTGCAATGCTACAAAAGTGACACCTCTTCGTTTTGCACGTAGCACGTGCATAAGGGTTCACCCATATGTATCGAAAATAGTCCAATTCTTGGTGGAAGGAATGAAGCTACCCTACAAAAATTACCGCAAATGAATCGGTCCAGTGGTTGTGAAAATATAAGCTTCACAAAACAGTCTAGTCGCAAATCACAAAATACCACACGCAATTTGCAACGTGTCATCAAAACATGCTGCAGTGTGGAAGTGACCAGCCGCGAACCCGGGACCTTTGAATTGCGAGGCGAGTTCGCTAACCATTAGGCCAAGAAAACAAGAGGAGGGCGCCATTTGTTTATGCCGTTGCCATGGAGACGACGCCGTACGGCGCCGATGCGGCAAGCTTGCGGCAGCCGCATCTCGCCGCATCTCGGTGCATCCTGCCGCATTGAGCCGTATCGTGACGTGCCGCACCACATCGCGACATGCCGCATCATGCCGCACCGCGCCGCACCGCAACCGTACCGCATGAAAAACGCACTCGTGTGGGGCGGCCCTAACGCCTTTTGGGGCGACTAACGGAGCGAGCGAGAGGGTGGGCCTTGCACGTGCGAAATTTCGTGGGGGTACCTCCAACTGAATTGTGCACGGCACCTTACTAACCGGTCTCTAGCGATGTGCCAAATTTGAGCACAATCGGCCCAGCCGTTCTCGAGATCTGGAAACGGCACCCTGCACGTGCGCACGTGCAAAATGGGTCCCAACTGACTTGTGCAAGGCACCCTACTAACTGGTCCCTAACCGTGTACCAAATTTGAGCGCCATCGGTCCAGCCGTTCTCGAGATCTGGAAACGACCCCTGCACGTGCGCACGTGCAGCAGCATCCCAACTCTGGCACATGGATATGCAGTGCCTAGTGGGTGCCTACCTACATGCCAACTTTCAGCGCAATCGGCCAAGTAGTTACCGAGATATTGCAACAATTACAAAACTGACACCTCTTCGTTTTGCACGTGGCACGTGCATAAGGGGTCACCGACACGCATCGGGAATAGTCCAATACTTGGTAGAAGGAATGAAGCTACCGTACAAAAAATACCGCGTGTCAATCGGTCAAGTGGTTGCTGAGATATAAGCCTCGCAAAAGCGTCCGCACGGCCGGCCGCTCATACTCAGAAATTTCCGTTAATCTAAGGAAAGACTCCGCTCGCTTCGCTCTCTCCGTAATCATCCATGCATATTCGAGCACGCTTCTTTCCGTGAGCTTGTGCGCCCGTGACGTGTTACCTATGTTTCGAGGTGTGCCTGCATATTCACGTGACCCGTGCAGCGTGCTCCCACCACTCAACTCTGTGAGCCACGTTATCTAAGTCCAGAGGCTGCGTCTGGCTTTCGTCACGTGTTGACCTATGCGCCCTTTCCTAAGCTCTGCGAGCCGCGGTACCTGAGTCCCGAGGTGCGCCTGAAGCCGCAGCCGGAGGACGCCGAGCCGGGCCTCACCTACTACCTTTCACTGATGCGTGACCAGCTGCAAGTCCGCCAGGGTAAGATGCCCTGGCCACTGACAGACTGGACTTACCGTCGCAGCTTATCAGCGTGTAACATGCTGGTAACCCTTCCAAATGTGACGGCTATGATTTTCGGAACGAATTGCGAATGAGGTTAAATCCAGCAAACAACTGCAACCTGTCACGATGAATTAACACGCTAATGTTTGAACAACCGGCCTGTACACGCGACTTTTGCGCTATTATAGGGGTAGCGTGGCAACCACACGGTTCTATCTCTTACAATTAAGCCGGATCTTTTTAGTATCTTCTGGGACAGTTTTGGCCTGTTTTATCTTATGTAATCACCTGGCAATCATATTCTAAAAGTTTCAATTGAATGCAGCGTTTATAATGTACTCGAAGTCACACACGAACTCGATCGGGAAGGGTGGACCGGGTTGGGCTGGACTACGAACGATGGGTGGACTGCGGCTTTGTTGTGACATGTATTGACGTGCCGTGCTCCCGCCAGGCGACTGCGTCTACATCATGCAGGGTGACATGGTGCGGGCCGCTCAGGAGGCCGGCCAGGTGCCGTACAAGTTCGTCAAACGCCTGGTGCCCGACGAGCTGCTCATCTTCCGCGTAGAAAAACTGTGGAAGGACGAAAGGTTAGTTGGGAGAGGGACCGACGCTGGCTGCGCTCTTCGAACAAAATGCTTGCTTTAGATGTTTGTGTTGTGATACTAGAAAAGGAATGTCTCGATCATGTATCGTGGCGGTTCACCACAGCACCTCTCCATTTTTCTTTTTGTAATCGGTAGCTGTGTCATCTGCCGTGTCTGACTCCTGCTCGTATGCCCTGTTGCAGCGGCGCCCGGTTTGCGTTCGGCTACCACTACTGCCGGCCGCAGGAGACGTACCACGAGCCGACGCGCAAGTTTTTCCCCAAGGAGGTGATGCGCTCGCCGCTGTACGAGGTGGTGCCGCTGGAGCTGGTGGTGGGCATCTGCTGGGTACTCGACGTCAACACCTACTGCAAGGGCCGCCCGGTCGGCGCCAGCGAACACTCGGTCTACGTCTGCGAGTACCGCGTCGACAAAACGGCCAGGTGCGGACGAGTGGGGTGCTTTCTATCACGTTGTGCTGGTGAATTAATGATGCTACGGAGTATTTTAGTCAGCTCTCAAGCAAGCTAGATGTGACCCCAACCTGATCAGGCGTTGCTTGATCAGGTTCAGGCGTTCTTATTCCGTTGCTTACTGGCTTGCTTGCGAGGTGACCATGCCTCTCGTTTAATTGCAGGCTGTTCGCAAAGCTCACCAAGAACCGACATCCCATCTGCACAAAGGCGTTCGCGTTCGATTCGTTCGAGACACGCTTGAAGATCTCACGGACGTTCACTGTAAGTGTGCCTTTCAACATCAATGAGCGTTTTCATGCTCATGCGAAAATCAGGCAGATCATATTCCGATTGATGCCCTCGAGCACTGTTACGAAGTTTCTTAATGTTCAGTACTAACTGCCCTCAGATAAACTCATTGGCTAACATCTGAATATTTTTGGAAGTCAGACCAGCTTAACTTAAAGTTTTACCCTACTTACTGAGTAACTTCTATTCGAGACCACGCCTGAGGGTCCCAACTGCCGAGTGTTTCACGACTTGCCGTTCTTTCCAGCCGCACGCCGAGGAGGTGGCACAGAAGATGAAGACGGAGAAGGTGAAGGCAGCTAAACGAGACGAGGTTAACGCCGCGGCGCCCAAGGCGGCCAAACCGAAGGTGGTCAAAGACTCTGCCAAACAGGCGCCGCCGCCGGTCAAGGTGGAAACACCGGATGAAAAGGTGAGGATTCAGCAACACTGCTTGAGTTTTTTTTACATAAAATGCTTCTCCTTTATCATTTGGGTGTCTGGCCTGCTATGCGCACGATATAGATACATCATTTTAGACATGCAGTTATAGAATGCTGTTCCTGAAACTAAATAGTGGTCGATATCCTAAATCAGTTATCGATAAGACCTGTATGACTAAGCCAGAGATCGATAAAGCTGTACTCTAACTTCATATGAGCTGAAATGCAGGGAGTTTACGCTAAAATGTATGGCTTGTGATAAATGCACGCTGCTATATCCCCATTATTCCGTCTGCCGAGTGTGGCGGCCGCTGACGTTGCGCCGCTGACCGGTCCGCTGGCCGCTCCGCTCCGGCAGCGGGCGCGCCAGGTCCGCCGGCTGGACGGCGTGCTGCTGCGGCTGCTGGCGCGACTCCCCGGCCCGCCGCTGGACGTCTCACAGATGCTCGGACCCGGCAAACGGCACCGGCGCCGGCCGGCCACTGCGCGCGTCTGACCCGGCGCCCGCTGCGCCGCCTGTCCCGGCTGCAGCACATGATCTTAGCACGCCCGCCCAGAAATGCAATCTGGACTGCGTGACCAAGGCTACCGAATGTACGATGTATCTTATGTTTTACGTTATTTTTAGTGACAAATGCGAGTCTGATGTTTTTAGTGTTGACTTTTATAGTGTTTTCTTTTTACGATGGGCTCAAAGTCGATGTTGATGGTTTTGTACCAAGTGATGAGCGAACTCCGGCATCTTATTCAGTCACAGCTTCTGAGTGTGTATACCTATTCATTTAGTTAGTGGGCCAAAAAATGGTTTTGTGCCCTTACAAAATCCATATAACCTGGTTTTAACAGCTGGATCTCCCCCCTTAGGATTTTACGGCGATATAAAACGGAACAGAGTGAAGACTGATGACTAACTCCGGTAACATACGTTCGTGCTTCTCATATCGGCATATGCTTCTGCATAGTCACACGCCCAGAACTTTGATAAGGCAGAAGTTTCTGTTTGTCTGACTGATCTATGTAACACGAGACGGTACAAAAATGGCGACATGTATCCGCCTTTGGGTAACCAGGCGATGTCTGAGCGCGTGAGACTGGTGTGCTTAGTGTCTATCGGGACGCCACTGTTGTGTGAGCGAGTGTCTGTGCGGGCTGCCGTGATATCTGAGATGTGGACCGCGGTCCAGCTAGATTTGGTAGATGTTTGCACTGTGATTTGTAAAGTCAGCAGATTGGGGCCGGTATATTGATGTCGCAGTCGGTATGCTGATGCGTGCCGCTAATGTATTTATTCGCTGTAAATAGTTTGCCGGAGCCTGCGGCCCAGGGCCCATTGTGATATGTCTTCCTGTCGTTGACTCCTTTGGCTCCACATCATTGTTCGCCATGTGATTTTATTCATCACATTTTTGCAACACGATAATATACGTCACCGAACGCTATGCAACATCAGTTAGCATATGTAGTATACTAATTGGTTTGGAATCTGTTGAGAGGTTCCCTAGCGCGTGGCTAAAGATATGTCGCGAGGCCATAATATATAAAAACAACACGCAGGGAAGGCAGCAGCGCTACCGGTCAACCGCACACAATCCAGATTTGGAAAAGCAATGCACGTCAGGTGACAATGGACCATCCAGCCTCAACGGTGTGCTTGAATCAGGGGAACCGAATGAGTGCAGCGACCGATAGCATTAAAATTCTACCCGGGTGAGACATTCTCGCTGGCTTCCTTCTTACTGCCATGCTCAACTGCGTATCGGGTGCCTAATATAAGGCGACTACGACCTTGTCGCTGATTGGTGAACTTCAATGACGCTCGTAAACGTAGAGCTATCAGTTTTGTCGGAATAAATATATCATCCTTGGATGTTACATAAATTAACGCAGCTTTGACATTAATGTGTGTTCAATTATTCTTCACGAAATACTTGTACGTTTTTCGACGAATCAACTTCACGAACATCACAGTTGCTCTGAGGTTGTCATGACAACCGTCAGGCAGGTAATCAACTGCAGAAAAATTGAACATTATTATTCCATGAGCCTATTCGGAACGTGAAGCGTAGTTCACCGGCACGTAGGGGCTAGGGCCACTACTTAGGTACCTATCAGATCATTTTCTTCAGCGTTACATATATTATTGATTGGGTGCCACCTGGTTTTAGCAAGCCATTAAAATGAAGGTTGGATTCCTTGGCGCTGGAAAAATGGCTCAGGCCCTCGCTAAAGGATTTACTTCTGCCGGTAAGCTCAAGATCGAATTTGACTACCTACCTACCTGTTTTACACATCCCTCAAGGTTTCCCATTTTTTTTTACTAACAAATCATTCCCATTTATTCCCATTAATTTGTTTGACTTGAACAGAGCAACAGTAGTGCCTATCATATAAGCAAAAATTCCAGTGATCTTCGATTTCAATCAAAGATTAAGTGCCTTTGGACCAGAAGGCTCTACTTTCATGTGGTTCAACAATGAATGTGCTTTGTTCATGAATATGTCATAATCTTTGTGTGTGTGTGTGTGACTGGAGGGCTGTTCACCGGCCCTGTGTGGCGTGTGCGGTCGGACCGTACACAGCCTCCAAGCTCCGCCCACTGCGTCCCTACGTCAGCCTTCCGTCACTGCACACAGCGACTGCTGTGGCCGGTCGGAACTGGCCACAGCGGACCGTCCACCGCACGCAGCCGTGACATCAAAACCGCCTACCCATCCCCTACCCCCACGCCTGCTGCACACACAGCACACACCACACTCAGCAGTGTGCGCCATGCGGTGCCCTTGAACACCCCTTGGGTGTGTAGCAGAATATGTGGGTCATGGGTGTGTGTTTCATCCATCTCCATCCCCGACTGGAAAAAATGCCTCCACTACGCTGAAGTTCTCGGCGGAGGTGATGCGCCGAAATTTCGGCGCAAGGGTTTATGCGCCAAAATTATTTTACCAAGCCATGCTTCATGCGCCGAAAATTTTCAAGGCTTACTGATGGCTGCAGGCTGTAGCCACGCACTTTTCGTCGAGGGGGGGCTGGCGTGTGTGTGTGGCTGTCTTCCAGTGACTACTGTCTACAGACGGTTGTTGGCACGGTCGACGGGATCGGGCAGACAATAGACATGTCAGCAGGCCATGCGGGACCGAGCACCAGCGTTCGCTATCACAAAATCTCCTGACTCACAAACTCACTGGCATGTTCCATAACGTAACCTTTATTTTGTTGCCCGGCTCTGATCAGCAGTAGTGCCCAGCCGGTGACTGACGCCTGACGGGGCCTTCAACAGGCGTGGTGCAAGCACGGCCGATGGGATCGGGCAGATACCACTACCAGGCCACGCGGGACCGATTGCCAGCGTCCGCTCGCAAACCACACGCCGGAAATACAGGAATCACAACGGTCAATACGCAAACGATAGCATACGTTATCTGAACTAGGGGATCCGACAATCCATAACCTCACTCTCGATCGGTGAACTGTTCCCGTCGTGGGAGAGTCGCAATCAGGTTCACTGAACACGACGAGACGAACAAGCGACAAGGTGGACCGGCGGACGCCGAAACGAGGCGGGCCAACCAGACCGCTGACAATTCACTCAGAACGTCTCAAAATCTGTACAGGCGCGGTCCAACAGACCAGCACGGCCGACGGGATCGCATCGGGCAGATACCAGGCCACGCGGGACCGATTGCCAGCGTCCGCTCGCAAACCACATGCCGGAAATACAGGAATCACAACGGTCAATACGCAAACGATAGCATACGTTATCTGAACTAGGGGATCCGACAATCCATAACCTCACTCTCGATCGGTGAACTGTTCCCGCCGTGGGAGAGTCACAATCAGGTTTACTGAACATGACTTAAATACCCTGAGACGAACACGAGACAAGATAAGTGATATTTAAGATGTTTAACTCCCGAAGACATTTAACCCTCGCCGGCCGAGGGGGGAGTTGGTGCCACCCCCCTGACGGTTTTTTTCGCGATTTACGCCGAAGTACGCCGAAAATTTCGGCGCAAGCCGTCGATTTACGCCGAAGTACGCCGAAAATTTTCGGCGCAAACGCCCAACTACGCTCGAGTTCTCGACGAAAGCGTGCATTTTTTCCAGTCGGGTCTCCATCTACCACCATCAACTTGTGTCAATGGACTTCTTAGTCTGGAATACAAGCCTATATCTATCTACCTATCTATCTATCCCATTTATGTTCTCTGAGACTAATGCTTGCTTCTTGATAGCTGTCTTATCTCATGATCTTGAAACTACTTACAAAAGCTTGCAAACAGAGACTCTCGGAATAGAGAAAAATTGCAACCCAGAAATATGCAATTAAGAAATAGAAGGGAAAAATTTGCTCAACATGCTTTGATGAAAAAGGTGATGCAAAGATAAATATGTCAAGAAATATTGAAACATATAAACATGAATGACAGATCAATAATGGAATTATTATCTACCTAGGTACCTATTTATGTTATAAGCTACACCTTACATCATGTGACTTTCATTGTTTCCTGGAATATCCTATAAAGGCAATGTTTGAATGTCATGTTAGATGCTCATCATTTCTAACAGTCTGCATAAAGTATTCACATTAGATATTGCCTTACTTTAACCCGCGCCCGGCTGGGGGTCCTGGATTTCCACGCCCTGCTGGGGGGGGGGGGGGGTGTTTGAACACCCCCCCTTCTAACTCGGCTCCTGGGCCACGTAGCGATACGCGGAAGGCGGCGTTCGAAAGAGCGTCAAAAATAATGAGGAAATCACTTCAGTCAATTTTTTGGTCAGGTCAAAGGTCAGGTCACCAGAGGTCATTGAAGGCGAAATTTCGCCGATTTCCAGGTCGAATGTCGACAATTTCCAAGAAGCCAACGCATAACTCGGGAACCAATAGAGCTACAGCGCCGCGGAAAAGCGCATTCGATAGCCCTATTAACGCCCTTTCTGAGTAATTTTCTCAGATTTGACCTAACGTGAACGGTTTTGCCTGCAGGGGGCAAAAACTGCAAAAATAGCCGATTTTTTCGGAAACAGTTTTTCTGCAATAACTTTTGACCCAAGCCTTGTACGAGCTTACTTTTACCGGCATCGTGTTCCTCTCGTCAAGACGCATCGAATGAACTATAACTTGACCTTGAAAGGTCAACTTGAAAATTTGACCTCAGGTCAAGGTCATGACCTGACCGGAAAGGGTCATGTTGCATATCAGTCGATCCGTATCGTCAAGCTGAACACATCTAAGGCGTTTTCATCGCTCTAGCATGCCTCTATCAAAAGTTATTTGCGAAAAACTGTTAGATACCATTCGTGACCTAAGATGACCTCAGGGCATATACAGGGGTCACGGACACCATTTTCATGTTCAGTGTGTCTAAACCACTTGTAATTCAGTGTTTGGGAGTGTTTATAATGTCTTTCGTCCAAAAGAGGCGCATTTCAATTTTCTCCCATTGACTTAGGTATAATGTGGAGGTCGCAAAATTGACCTGACCTTAGGTCATCGATATCAAAATTCTGAGATATACATTTTGTACATGCTATTGCTCTTAGCAATCGCTGAAAGTTTCAAAGCGATCGGTCACTCGGTGTAGCTATGACAGACATTGAAACTTTTTATGAGGTGAGGTCACTTCAAGTGACCTGGTGACCTGACCTTGAATGACCTTGGTCTGAAATTTTCACAACATGTGTGGAATTGATGTATGATAAGGTGTACCAAAAACGGCGGCGCTCCGCGCCGCCGTTTTTGAGATATTCGCGAAAAACCACAAGGGGGGTGTTCAAACACCCCCCCCAGCAGGGCGCGGGTTAAAATAGTAAGGCCCATGCAGCATCCTCACTTTTAATTGATTTTTTTCAGGAATAACAAAAGCAAGTGATGTTATAGCCAGTTGTCCTAAAACGGACAATTATTTGTTGGAAGAATTCCAAAAGGTAAGATAAAAGTCTGTCATAGTTTGTAGCTCATTGTGGGGACCATAAGAAGCTATAAGAATCTTGGTAAATGGTGGGGGTCCTCCTGCCTAGTCCTTAGCAACTGCTTGGCGCTCACTTTTTGTATGCTAGGCGAAAGAAGATAGCTATGCTGTCAATTTTTACGCACCTTTCTGGCTCTTTTAGTCCATGGTTCACAATCTAATGCTCAATGTTACTGGCCTCAGTCATAAAAATACAAAATACTGCCTTTCATGACCTAAAGACTAAAGTGAAAAGTCATCAGTGATGTTAACCTAAAGTCATCAGTGATGTTAAATTACTGAAGTAGGTTCTTGCCATGGACAAATTTGTGGGCCTTTATTGTGTCATTTACTGCTTGTGTCAGTGTCATTTGCTGCATGTGACTTCATGGCTATTTTTCATGTCCACTTCTGGTTCTACCATTGATTATGAATATGGCTATGAATCTGTGCCTTTGTCTACCTCATCAACTTCTCTGGCGCTTTTTAAGGTCAAATAGACAAATAGAGGAATTTATCTATGCTGAACATGATTTATTGCTCTTCCTAAGTGCTTGGTGTTCAGTAACAAGGCGCCCATTGTTGAAATCATTGTATTTCCTCAGGACGTCCCTGGATCTATGGTTACCAACAGTAACACAGACGTGGTGGAGCACGCTGACCTGGTGCTGATCGCCACCAAGCCGCCCATCGTTCCACGGGTGATCCAAGAGGTCAACCCGGCTGTCCGTCCAAGAAACTTGCTCGTTTCTATCGCGCTTGGCATCCCCATCACGAATTTGGAGCAGGTATGACATCCGAATCGGTACGATCGTAATTGCATGCTTGTTGAATTAGTTGAAGCGGCTGTTTTGAATTGAACGCTTGGATGATCACATTAATGCAAAAATATAAACGGGGTAGGTAAGTTGAAGTAGGTATTAATGCTGATTTCTGGACTTAAAGCGAAAATGAGACGTTTATGCGCACGTTTGCATGCATATGATATGCACATGCACGTACGAACGCACGCACGCACGCGCGCACGCGCTCTGCCACATTTGCACAAGTGCGTGCAATTTAGTCGGTGTGCTTGGCTGCTCAGTAGTTTTGCTGGCTTGAAGAGTTGTTGCACTTTTTCTTCAGATGCTGCCTCCGAAGACGCGTGTCATCCGCGTGATGCCCAACACGCCCTCGTTGGTGAAGGCCGGCTGTACCGTTTTCAGCTGTGGCAGCAGCGCCACCGAAGAAGACGGGCTCATCGCGAAACGGTACCCGATACCTGGCCTTCCCTTGATGCTCCCTGTCTTTGACCGGAAACACTTTCATGAAGAGTTTGACATCCATCCTTTTAGCACTACTAAGCATCTATTGCGCACATGATGCAAATTAATTTATGCATAGGTACATGCCTCAACGGATCTTCAGTTCACATTCGGGATCCATTTCTATTTTGTAAATTCGATAATGAGCATAACGCTACTATCCCCCCCCCGATTTGGTCACTATTTTAGGCTAGCAAAGTTATAGGTGTAACTTAAAGGGACCCTCCCACCTTAACATTAGATTTGAGTTGAGATAGCCAAAATGGGGTCCCTGGCTCACAATTACCGGTTTCGGCACTCACAACATCGAGAAATGCCTTAAATCGGAAATATTGAATTTCAAAATTGCAGCATTTTGATTCAGAGGGGCTAATGCATAGGAATACCCCTCTGAATGTGTGACGTCAGCGCAGATATCTAACGATTTTTAAATGTTTGACTAAAACGTTTTGTAGCACATGTAACGGAAGTTAGCAGGTATTCAGCAGGGGTTCAGCAGGGATTCAGCAGGGATCGACGGCCCCTCCGATTTCGCTAAATTTTGGTGGAGAGGTGCAGAATGGTGTCCTCTATCGAAAATCCTAGTGCCAAAATGCGGGGAATCCATCAGGGGGGCCACAAATCCCAAAAAACAGTATGCCCTCAGGGCACAATCGACGAACTTTGAAAACCCTACTTCTAGCCGTCAAAACAGCTAAACAAGCACGTCATTCGAAAGAGGACAAAATTTTACGTACAACGGTACCAAATATAGGGGTCTAGCGCCCCCCCTGAACCGAAAAAACAGCTTCAAATATATGGGCCCGGGAGTATACCCTCGGGGCATAAATTAACGCTTTCAACAATTTCAGGCCTATAACATCGACAAAATCCAGCAATATGCACATCATTGGAAAAAGCGTAATATCCCAAACAAAAAACCCAAGTAACATTTTTCGATGGGGCCCACCTGGGGCCCACGGGACCCAATTGAAATTTGGGGCCCAATAGGGCGGCCCCTACGATTTTCTTTAAAATTGGCACAGACACTCTCCTGGGCCCCCTCTTCAATCTGGCTGAAGAAACCTACCGGGGAATCCAAAGGAAGGGGCCCAAAGAGGGCCCCAAAGAGGCCCATTCTAAGTATTGCCCCTAATTTCGCGACCAACCCCGGCAATATGCACATCATTGGAAAGAGCGTAATTTCCCAAACAAAAAACCCGAGTAACATTTTTCGATGGGGCCCACCTGGGGCCCACGGGACCCAATTAAAATTTGGTACCCAATGGGGCGGCCCCTACGATTTTCTTTAAAATTGGCACAGACACTCTCCTGGGCCCCCTCTTCAATCTGGCTGAAGAAACCTACCGGGGAATCCAAAGGAAGGGGCCCAAAGACGGCCCCAAAGAGGCCCTTTTTAAGTATTGCCCCTAATTTCGCGACCAACCCCGGCAATATGCACATCATTGGAAAGAGCGTAATTTTCCAAACAAAAAACCCAAGTATTATTTTTCGATGGGGCCCACCTGGGGCCCACGGGACCCAATTGAAATTTGGGGCCCAATGGGGCGGCCCCTACGATTTTCTTTAAAATTGGCACAGACACTCTCCTGGGCCCCCTCTTCAATCTGGCTGAAGAAACCTACCGGGGAATCCAAAGGAAGGGGCCCAAAGAGGGCCCCAAAGAGGCACTTTCTAAGTATTGCCCCTAATTTCGCGACCAACCCCGGCAATATGCACTACATTGGAAAGAGCGTAATTTCCCAAACAAAAAACCCACGTATTGTTTTTCGATGGGGCCCACCTGGGGCCCACGGGACCCAATTGACATTTGGGGCCCAATTGGGCGGCCCCTACGATTTTCTTTAAAATTGGCACAGACACTCTCCTGGGCCCCCTCTTCAATCTGGCTGAAGAAACCTACCGGGGAATCCAAAGGAAGGGGCCCAAAGAGGGCCCCAAAGAGGCCCTTTCTAAGTATTGCCCCTAATTTCGCGACCAACCCCGGCAATATGCACATCATTGGAAAGAACGTAATTTCCCAAACAAAAAAACCAAGTAACATTTTTCGATGGGGCCCACCTGGGGCCCACGGGACCCAATTGAAATTTGGGGCCCAATGGGGCGGCCCTACGATTTTCTTTAAAATTGGCACAGACACTCTCCTGGACCCCCTCTTCAATCTGGCTGAAGAAACCTACCGAAGAATCCAAAGGAAGGGGCCCAAAGAGGGCCCCAAAGAGGCCCTTTCTAAGTATTGCCCCTAATTTCGCGACCAACCCCGGCAATATGTACATCATTGGAAAGAGCGTAATTTCCCAAACAAAAAACCCAAGAAACATTTTTCGATGGTTCCCACCTGGGGCCCACGGGACCCAATTGAAATTTGGGGCCCAATGGGGCGGCCCCTACGATTTTCTTTAAAATTGGCACAGACACTCTCCTGGGCCCCCTCTTCAATCTGGCTGAAGAAACCTACCGGGGAATCTAAAGGAAGGGGCCCAAAGAGGGCCCCAAAGAGGCCCTTTCTAAGTATTGCCCCTAATTTCGCGACCAACCCCGGCAATATGCACATCATTGGAAAGAGCGTAATTTCCCAAACAAAAAACCCAAGTAACATTTTTCGATGGGGCCCACCTGGGGCCCACGGGACCCAATTGAAATTTGGGGCCCAATGGGGCGGCCCCTACGATTTTCTTTAAAATTGGCACAGACACTCTCCTGGGCCCCCTCTTCAATCTGGCTGAAGAAACCTACCGGGGAATCCAAAGGAAGGGGCCCAAAGAGGGCCCCAAAGAGGCCCTGTCTAAGTATTGCCCCTAATTTCGCGACCAACCCCGGCAATATGCACATCATTGGAAAGAGCGTAATTTCCCAAACAAAAAACCCAAGTAACCTTTTTCGATGGGGCCCACCTGGGGCCCACGGGACCCAATTGAAATTTGGGGCCCAATGGGGCGGCCCCTACGATTTTCTTCAAAATTTGCACAGACACTGTCCTGGGCCCCCTCTTCAATCTGGCTGAAGAAACCTACCGGAGAATCCAAAGGAAGGGGCCCAAAGAGGGCCCAAAAGAGGCCCTTTCTAAGTATTGCCCCTAATTTCGTGACCAACCCCGGCAATATGCACATCATTGGTAAGAGCGTAATTTCCCAAACAAAAAACTCAAGTAACATTTTTCGATGGGGCCCACCTGGGGCCCACGGGACCCAATTGAAATTTGGGGGCCCAATGGGGCGGCCCCTACGATTTTCTTCAAAATTGGCACAGACACTCTCCTGGGCCCCCTCTTCAATCTGGCTGAAGAAACCTACCGGGGAATCCAAAGGAAGGGGCCCAAAGAGGGCCCAAAGAGGCCCTTTCTAAGTATTGCCCCTATTTTCGCGACCAACCCCGGCAATATGCACATCATTGGAAAGAGCGTAATTTCCCAAACAAAAAAAACAAGTAACATTTTTCGATGGGGCCCACCTGGGGCCCACGGGACCCAATTGAAATTTGGGGCCCAATGGGGCGGCCCCTACGATTTTCTTCAAAATTTGCACAGACACTCTCCTGGGCCCCCTCTTCAATCTGGCTGAAGAAACCTACCGGGGAATCCAAAGGAAGGGGCCCAAAGAGGGCCCCAAAGAGGCCCTGTCTAAGTATTGCCCCTAATTTCGCGACCAACCCCGGCAATATGCACATCATTGGAAAGAGCGTAATTTCCCAAACAAAAAACCCAAGTAACATTTTTCGATGGGGCCCACCTGGGGCCCACGGGACCCAATTGAAATTTGGGGCCCAATAGGGCAGCCCCTACGATTTTCTTCAAAATTTGCACAGACACTCTCCTGGGCCCCTCTTCAATCTGGCTGAAGAAACCTACCGGAGAATCCAAAGGAAGGGGCCCAAAGAGGGCCCCAAAGAGGCCCTTTCTAAGTATTGCCCCTAATTTCGCGACCAACCCGGGAATATGCACATCATTGGAAAGAGCGTAATTTCCCAAACAAAAAACCCAAGTAACATTTTTCGATGGGGCCCACCTGGGGCCCACGGGACCCAATTGAAATTTGGGGCCCAATAGGGCGGCCCCTACGATTTTCTTCAAAATTTGCACAGACACTCTCCTGGGCCCCCTCTTCAATCTGGCTGAAGAAACCTACCGGGAAATCCAAAGGAAGGGGCCCAAAGAGGGCCCCAAAGAGGCCCTTTCTAAGTATTGCCCCTAATTTCGCGACCAACACCGGCAATATGCACATCATTGGAAAGAGCGTAATTTCCCAAACAAAAAACCCAAGTAACATTTTTCGATGGGGCCCACCTGGGGCCCACGGGACCCAATTGAAATTTGGGGCCCAATCGGGAGGCCCTACGATTTTCTTCAAAATTTGCACAGACACTCTCCTGGGCCCCCTCTTCAATCTGGCTGAAGAAACCTACCGGGGAATCCAAAGGAAGGGGCTCAAAGAGGGCCCCAAAGAGGCCCTGTCTAAGTATTGCCCCTAATTTCGCGACCAACCCCGGCAATATGCACATCATTGGAAAGAGCGTAATTTCCCAAACAAAAAAACTCAAGTTACATTTTTCGATTGGGCCCACCTGGGGCCCACAGGACCCAATTGAAATTTGGGGCCCAATGGGGCGGCCCCTACGATTTTCTTCAAAATTTGCACAGACACTCTACTGGGCCCCCTCTTCAATCTGGCTGAAGAAACCTATCGGGGAATCCAAAGGAAGGGGCCCAAAGAGGGCCCCAAAGAGGCCCTTTCTAAGTATTGCCCCTAATTTCGCGACCAACGCCGCCAATATGCACATCATTGGAAAGAGCGTAATTTCCCAAACAAAAAACCAAAGAAACATTTTTCGATGGGGCCCACCTGGGGCCCACGGGACCCAATTGAAATTTGGGGCCCAATGGGGCGGCCCCTACGATTTTCTTCAAAAGTTGCACAGACACTCTCCTGGGCCCCCTCTTCAATCTGGCT